TTAAACATGGTTGAATGTTCCTTCACACGACCAGAAAGATGGAACCTCATAATTGTCTCCAATTTTTCTTCCACTTTCCGCCATTTTGTTTTTATTTTAAAATTACATCAGGTTAATTCACCAATCGGCACTTTATTTGCACTCCAAATTCATTCAACTCCGATTAAAAAATCAAAGGGCTGCAAGCTCTGTGGTATTTTCTGATCTTTGCAATCTAAATCGCACTGTATATCTGTATTATTTTCCTGTATAAGTTTATTTTTTTGTACTATAATTCTTCTTGCAGGGCACCAGAGTTTGATACATACGGAATTTTGCATGACTAGAGTTGCATCAAAAATCATTTATGTTCATTTGTATGACAGCCACACTTTATCCTAGCATAACGTGGCTACTTCCTTAACAAAGAAACCTTTTTAAAAAAAAAATAAAAAAGTTGCCTTGAATGGGATATGAACCCCAGACCTCTGACACTCAAAACAAGCGCGTTACCCCTGCACCACGGAGAAGTTATACGAAGGGCTTGAATAAAATCAAGTAATTATACTAAATTAAGAACTTCCAGTTTGTAATCCTTATTTATTTCGAGGTATTTTGTTCACGATAAACCTGTTGTTTAACATTGGTGTAAATTATTTAGCAAAAATCTTCTCGCCAAAATAGTCCGACATGTATAAATTCCACTACTCGACAGTCATATTTATGTGTGTAGTATTCGGTAATCGACATCGCTAAAATTAGCATTTTCATTGAAATCATATCCACCCGCGTAATTTGCGAATGTACATTAAAAAAAATTTTATTGACAATTCTATAACTCGAAGTTACTTTTAAACTTTGAATGCGTTGTAATTTGTTGGATACTTGTAACAAAATAAAACTATTTCTTTTAAATCGCTAGGTTTAAGCTGTTTTAAGAACTACTTGTTGTTAGTTTTGTCGTGAAACCGCTGTGTAAGAGATTAATATTAGCTTTGTAGTTCCTGATTTTCGATCAGAAAATACAACTATTAAACGTCACGATTATCCAATGAAAAATGACGTTACAAACGTGCCAGTATTATAAATGTATTTCGATCAGTCATAACAAAACACTCCGGATAGATGATGTGAAAGGTCAAACGTACGTCATTTGCAGTTGAAGTATACAACATTCAACTGGAAGTTACGTCTGTCTAATCAAATACATGAGATGGAAACAAATCATTGATCTCAAAATGTACTCTAAAAACAAACCAAAGAAGAAAAGACGTTTTATCACGAAAACCAGTTACATTAATTTATTTAGAATATATGTAAAGCAAAATGTTTTTAGAAAGTTAAAAAAGAACACTATGTTTTTGAACATCTGTAGTAATAAAATATTTCTAAATATTTCGAAAAAAAAATGTTTTGTGATAGTATATTTCTAAATATCTGTGACAAAATATGTTTTGTATATCTGCAGGTACAATTTGTTTTACATATCTTTAGATATAAAAAGGATTTTGACATATATGATGTTTACAATTATGAAAATGAAATACTGCTGGAATAAATATTCAAACATTGATTGATAAATTTCGATACATGAAGTCGATACATTTAGTAACTACCATATATACCCATCATCATTATTCTTAATTATGAACTTTACAGCATTTCCTCGACATAATAAATAAATAAAAAAACTAGTCTTTCTTCTATGTTAAACCTTTCCTGGGAACCATGATACAAAAACATGTAATTTAAAAAAAATGTTCATGCTTCATCGCTATAAATCAAACACTGCTTCAGCAATACACGAACAATTATTATTCTGTTGCATTGCAAAAAATAGGGAAAATGTGATCTCTAAAGAAAGAAATTGCTTTTTTACTAGCTTCTATAAAATACTTTGACTTGAAAGTGAAGACACATGAAGGGTATTTTCAACGGAAAATAATTATGATTAAATATTGGATTAAGTTATTATCGCTTCAAGAAAGTACTATCCTTTTGAAACTTATTCTATGTTATGAATTGATGCTGACAATGGACAACAAGCAGTTATTGTAGCTTAAAATTCACTGTACACAGACACAGAATATCTACATTTTCATTCAAATAAAAAATATGTTGATCTAATCATTTTATTTTTTCAGTTTGTTTTATTACCAATACATTATGCATGATTAAAAAGAAAAAAAAAGAAAAAAAATACATGTCACACGCTAGGTTTTGAACTCCGATTTCTTGGGTGACAGTCATCAACAACATCCACTAGGCCAGAGAGTCTATTACATTAAGTGTTGTTAAAATAAATTCTACCCTTAAAACTACTTTCTGTATCTTTTGCCCATCAAAATGAAGTAATCTTTTGTCAATCAATGTGAGGTTATCTTTTTTCCATCAATGTGAGGTAATCTTTTGTCCATCGATGCGAGGTTATCTTTTGTCCATCGATGTGAAGTAATCTTTTGTCCATCGATGTGAGGTTATCTTTTGTCTATCATTGTGAAGTAATCTTTTGTCCATCGATGTGAAGTAATCTTTTGTCCATCGATGTGAGGTTATCTTTTGTCTATCATTGTAAAGTAATCTTTTGTCCATCAATGTGAAGTAATCTTTTGTCCATCGATGTGGGGTTATCTTTTGTCTATCATTGTGAAGTAATCTTTTGTCCATCAATGAGAAGTAATATTTTGTCCATCGATGTGGGATTATCTTTTGTCTATCATGTGAAGACATCTTTTATCCATCAATGTGTGGTAATATTTTTTTCTATTCGGTTAAAAGGTGGTGACTACCGGTTAGATGTAAACAAAACAATGTTGTATTTTGGCTAAAGGCTTTCACGATTTTTATAGCGATGTAAATGTTAAATTCGTATAATTGAGTTGCTGTTGCATTCATGAAGGATATGGAATTTTATAAAAATATGTATGTTTGAATTTGAATGTTGCATAAAGAGGTTATCTTGAACTTTTAGAAATTGAATGTGTGCATGGAGAGACTTTTTGTGAGCAATTTGAGAGCGCAAAATAGCTTGAGGGTCTGCCGTCCCTGACAAAATTTGCGGTCACGCATGACTGAGCCGCTATCGGCTTTAATATGCTTTTGTTGAACAGTGTGATATTTATATATTTATGGAAGATTTATGTTGAAATGATTTATGTATCATGATGAGCTCAAATGAAAGCAAGAAAACGCTCTTCAACTGCTAATGAATAAGATACCAGTGACAATATTGACAATCAACCTGTTTACCCAGTTTTTAAACCAAAAGGTAAAAAGACTAAAACTAAAAAGTAAAGCAAAGTGATCCAAAACCTCAATCTAATAACACGCCCAAAAATAATTGCATTATGGACGACAGCTCGGTGTATAATACTACTGCATGTTTAAAGGAAACTTTATAACGAAAAAAAAATTAAAAAGCAGCTGACAGACATCAGTATTCAATTATCAACACTCCTATCAAAAGATGATACAACTTTTATAAAGAAAATTACCGAAGATAAAATGAATGAAATGAAAGTAAGTTTCCTTAGTGCAATGACTAAGAGAGTAGAGGTTCTCGAACATGACGTCCATACACAAGCTCAGACAATTGAAAAACTAGAACAAAAGATTTAATTATAAATGAACTCAAAGAAAAAGATCAGTCACTATACGAAAGAATTGAAAAAGATGAATTTTGCTGTGAAAAATTTGAAAACGAGTCCGAACAATACAGTCGCAGAAATATTGTTCGAATATTTGGCATTACGGACGATGACAACAGGCAGACCTCAGAAACAGTTTATCAAAAATTAATAGACACAATAAAAAGCAAATCAGATCTTGTTCTGCAGAAAGCAGATATTTACATCAGCCACATACTTGGAAAATACAAAGTCGGCAAGCATAGGCCAATTATAGTTAAATTTGTAAGACGCCAAACAAAAGTCGAACTTTTCACTGAAAGAACATAAGATTTATGTCAACGAAGATTTGACGAACATGAACGCGGACATGTTGGCATCCTGTCGTGTAAAAGACAAGTCAAATGTTGATAAAGCGTGGTCATTTGAAGGAAACATTTACGTGAAATATGCATCACAGGGATTTGCTACGCAATTGCAAGCAATTAAACTACCGCTATTGGTTAAATCTTCCGTGGCCGGAAAAGGATGAAACACATGCTCAGGATTTGAGTAAAAGCCAAGGATACTCGACTACATCTAAACAGCCATATAGTTCTATGCCTCAAACAACAATCCGTTACGCAGTTTTCCAAACCATGACTGTCTTATGCAGCCGCGGCCAAATGACCTATCACTTATTTTCAAAAAGAAAAAAATATTGTTTTCACAAACAAGTGAAACGTTACGTGTGATTAAAGTTAATTCCCTTTGACCGATTTCTTCATCCTGTATGAAGAATGTGCTATATAAACAATTAACTAAAATGATGACAACGACGACGAAAATTGTAAAAAAAATAATTATAGAAAAATAACAGAAAAAAGCGTCACTTTATGTGAGTGATATCCCATATACAGCATGTGCAAATTTTTAGTTTGTGGCGTACGTGCCAATTTTCCCGGGTTATGACTTAAGATTATTTTTCGTGCTCAGTTGGAAGTTAAGTTTGCCAGTACATTTGTATTTATTATTTGGTTCACAATGTTTAAAAAAGGACATCATACTGTTACAAAGAAAGATCTAGATAAAAGATCATTTTCAGTAACAAATTTTTTTAACCCGAATCAATTAAAGCGTGCAAATTAAAAAAAAACTAGCCATCTTTCGAGTTATGGGGTTTTACTGTGAATATATGGGGATGTGGCTCAGTGGTAGAGCGTTCGCTTTGCATGTGAAAGGCCCCGGGTTCGATCCCCGGCATTTCCACATCTTTTGACCATTATCAGCACTATAACTGTGTAAAAAAAAATTGCGATTAAACCGTTTTGTATTTACAAGATTGCCTTATCTAATGCAATTTCATTTTTATCATCTTTATTTTTGTGTATCTATAAACACTCAAGTTCATATACATGGGGATGTGGCTCAGTGGTAGAGCGTTCGCTTTGCATGTGAAAGGCCCCGGGTTCGATCCCCGGCATTCCATATTTTTTTAAAACGTTCTATTAGGCAATAAGTCGCGTTCAATTTATGTTTACAATTTAGTTTCACTGTTTAATAGTAGACATATTATCATATAGCAATATAGAAACGGAATTACTCTATCTTTAATTGCAATTTAATTGAATTCATTCAAAGCGCTAAATTGTCGTAATGTGCCCCAAAATTACGGACTAGAAATAATTCTAAGGGGTTTGTGTGCCATTAGTAAGGCGTGGACCAAGAACTTGTGTGCAAAAATTCAGAATATCCGCTCACATCATTTTTCTAAAACAGTTATCTTAATTGAGAGTAAAATGACCAAAAAATGAAACGTGGATAAGCTTCGCGCTAAAACTCGATTTTCTATTAATTCAGAGTATATTTCTTAGTTTTTACATTTTCTTTTTCATTTTATGTGTCCAATAATTTGATCTATATATTGTAAGTAATAGATTCTAGATGTAAGGACAAGAAGTATGACATAAACCAAGAGAAAAATCAAACATAAACATGTACGTACAAGTCTAATTAAATAAATATAATATAATAATATATAATATAAGTAAATCTGTTCTGTTCATAAAACAAATCTTGACACTTATGTGAGAAAAAGGCCCCTATGCAATATTGTTTCAAGTCAGTACAGCATCAAAATAGGACCATCGATCTTTCCAAACTAATTGGACAATTTCCTGTATGAAATAACCGGGGCCCTAGCTATTTAAAAAGCTTGCTTTCTCGCAATAAAGGACTGAAAATCTCTAGCATGATTTGAACCACGTTTGTGAGGGAAATTAGATTTAAAATCATCCACTCGACCAAAGAGTCTTTTATATGACAATTTTCACTTGCGAACAGGATTCAAAAACAATAACGCTAATTCAGAATAAATATATAAAATTTGTTTATTTCAATATGGGTTATTTTCAAGGTAGTCTTTATTAAGTTTATATTGTTCTATGATGTCCATGTACTGGAAATTTTCTGGGTTCTTGTGAAATGTTCGCACTAATGTGTACCTCTCTCCTGCCTCCTTCCCATAGTATAACGTCATCTGTTTCACAAGATTCAACGCCTCGGACTTTTTCTGAAAAACAAAAAATCAAGCAGCAAAATCACACAGTAGGCATAAAAAATCACGTTCTTGTCTATTCTGTTACTTTTCAGTCTGCACTATTAAAGCTACATGCCTCCAGATAAAACCAAAATATTTAAAGAAAATTAAACTTGAGAAAAATGTACTAAGATTTTAAGAAAAATAGAAAAATATTTAAATAATAATTTACGGTTAATAAGTGGAAAAATGTATTGAGATGAAAAAAAAAACATCTGTCCATGCATTGAAAGTTACAAAATATTGTTGTGTAGCACTACAATGTACCTGGAACCTTTAATATAGCACATAAACTATCTTATAATCTAAAAATTTCATGTCACATACGGAGCACAAAAATAACAGGATTTAATATTTTTCTAAAAAAATGTTGCCTCTGAATTTTTAAAGCATTTTCATACTTATCATCAAGAGCTGTTGTACAAAATCATACTTGACTATTCTCAGTGCTAGAAACAAGTTTGTTTTGTTTATTTAGTTGGTTTTTAAGTCATATCAACACTGAAAATATCTTTTGGTTACTTTCTAGCTTAAGGTGACAACAGACACTTTCCGTGGTACTCACATAAATGTCATTTAAACCAAGTTATTTTAGTAATACTTGTTATTCATTTAATCTTTGCGCATTAAAAGTCGTTGATCATCATAAAAAATAACATATTTGAAAAAAATGCCTTTGTAAATGATTGATTTTGAATAAAAATCCTAAAATTTTAAATCGTCATATCAAAGTCATTTTTTATTTTTTTGTCATCAAACTTTTGGAAAATAACCATACTTATATTATCTGGGGAACCGTGTCTCAAATTTTTTATATCTTTTCTCAAAAAAATATTACGTAACGTCAAACATTTTATGCGACTTTTTTCACCATACATATTACGTAATTAAAGATAATTAAGTCGCTGATTGAGCAAACAAAAATCCCTGACACGGTTCCCTCCGTAAATGAATTTCCTTTCATGTGCTTTAAAGCGCATGTTAATTGCTTGATTATTAAAAAAGTTATGCCGATTCAAAGTTAGTCCGACCCGCATCAAACGAAGTGTCATAAATCGGCTGTTCTCTCTCGGACCCCTACGTTTCACGCTAAATAATTGCATAATACACAAATATCGCACCAGAGAGGGTCACAAGTTGCGGTAACATACTCTAACAACATTTTATGACCCAGTGACATCTGACCAATTAAAAAGCTGCTGATTAAAATCAGTTTATAGCCGAAATTTCTTCAATTCTTAATGTGATTTACTGTCCGTCTAGTATCTGTCGCACATGTCACGTGACTATCGGTAAAATTTGAGGCACTCAGTGGGGGCAAATGGAACGCATTTGTGCACCGCTAGCGGGGTATTTAATTGTTTCCTATTTGAAGATTATTATTATTATTATCGTCAGCATTACTATTGTATTATACCAGTGTCACTCTGCCTGTGTATTCGTGTATGAAATTCCGTTAAAATATAAAATAAAATAACAAAAAACTGAGCTTCTGACAGTCTTTTAAAGTCCATGGTAGATGTACAAACAAGAACGGGATAGTATATATTTTTTCCACCAAATTGATAATGCTTCACATATTTTAATAGAAATAAAAGGTATTACTCGATCATTATGATGTGGCCTTCTTGACTTCTATTATCATGAATATCATCTATGCACGGCATAGAGATCCAGTTTCTACCGGGATAGACAATAAATTTCATACTTTGTCCCAGATTTATTAGTACTGTGTCGGATTTACTGGCGAACAATTTATTTTCACTGAGAATATATTTTAATATCTTTTTTTATTCATAGAGAAATAATCATCCTTAGACAATCTAAAATGGTTTAGAAATTTGTCAGGGACACCTTACCACAAGTCATATAAGCGTTCACATAAAAAATGTCGTCTGTTGTTGTTTTACTAGACATTGTTAGAAAACGAGGTTGAATGTAAAGTAAGCCCTTGAATCCGTACAAAAGTCTATCAACTCAATGTAATATATATATATCAGATTAACGGGATAGACAAATTATTTTCACACATTATGGATATTTTAGCAACTACATTTTAATCAACGGTCGTGCGATTTGCCGCTATGCTTAATTATTTATGTTTCATACATTATGTTACGTACATTGGCCGACAATTTCTTAATTTATAAAAAAGGCTTAATGTTGAGATATTCATAAAAGATGTACGGTAGATGAACGATACATGTATTACGAGAAGTATGGACCAGTATGGACCTGTAATTCACGGATATATGGAACTACCGATTTCCCTCATTGATGCCTCAACAGGGGGCGGAGCGTTATCGATAATCGACAGGTTACGCGAATAGCAGATACAAATAGTATAGGTACCGTTTTAAATCGTTTAAAAACACATTTTTTGGACTAACTGCTTCCAAAATTAAATCACGAATGTGTTCAGAAAAGGTTGATAAATCTACTTAGCAAAAAATCTCATTTTAGGTATTTTCAGTGATAATTGACTCCGTTGTCACCTTAACTTGTGGAGGTAGAACTCAGGTGCCTCTAAATGCATTATTTCTGGTGCAAAATTTCCCAAACTGGGTTAGGCACATTTTTTCCAAAATGGCTTGGAAAAGGACTGAGGGATTGTATAAATGCCAGAGTCAGTACCATGATATTATGATTTGCTGTCTGGTAAGCTCAATAGGTAGAGTGTTGGACTGTGAATTGGGCGACCCAAATTGGATTTCCGGACAGTGCAGGTCACAGATCACTTTCGTTGTGATTGGTCATGAAATCTTTTCTATGGTCATTGCACTGTACCTCTGCTATGGCATGTACAGAAGTTTCAGTTCCTTTCAAAAGTGAAGGCAACCAGTACTGGTAAACTGCTTGACAGCTTGCCAAGGAATGGTGCAGTGGCTGAACTGTGCTCTGGTAAATTCAATGTGGCTTACTGCCATGACCCTGAGTGAAAACTACCAATACCACCACCACCATGATATCATTATTCTTTGAGAAGTCTAAACAATATACAAAGTAAAATTATACTTACAATAATACTATCATCATATTCTCCTGCCATCAAAACAATTCCTGAAAATTAAAGAATCAAAACTAAACTTTACATTTTTAACATTGTTCTGGTTCACCAAAAGGCATCGTGGGATACCAGGATACCCACACCTGATTAACATGTAAATATGAATGGTTCGGCAGTGGGTATCAAAACGATGACTAAAATGGCGCTCTAACTAAACTATACCCATAACCTGCTGCAACTGAAAGTGATTACCTAGAACCAGGTCAGAATGCACACATCAGGTTCTATACCGTTGGCTTACCAACTTAAAATTTTCATTGAATTCCATTAAATTGATAATAGCCAGTTCCAAAAACTGGACAAGTCCATTTAAGAAATTCAGCAGCTTGAGGTTTAAATCCATGCTGCACCCACAACATTAGTTTTTATTTTTTTCTATTCTATTCATTTGTTCAATAATTATATTCTTATTTAACTAAACTATTTTTACAATGTATTTAAAGTCACATTAAAACTGGTAAAGTCCTATGAAAACTTTTTAAGTTTAGTGGGAAAGGAAGGCCTACGAGGAACACACATATTGGCTAGCCGCCTAATTATTGAATGAGTAAAAAGCTTCTCCATTAAAGACAATACGCTTGTGATGTCGTTAACATCAAATTTTAAAGTTAAAACTGTGCGTCGCATTGCTTTACATGCAAATAACAGTATTCCTTTTTTATTTGTTAATATTTCTTGTTGGTATTTCTTGTATCATTTAGGGGATAGATTCCCATTTATGTCGCTTGTATTTTCATGTTAATGTTTTTAACAAGTAAGGTATACCATCTACAAAGTCTGGTTAAGTTTTGATCATCCCTCGTACAAAGCCCCTTTAAGAATTGTTTGGAAAAAAATACAACATTAAATCTACATCTATATCAATCTAACAAGGGAAAGTTCTACGATCTTAGAGAAATTCTAATGAAATTAGATTAGTTCAAGTCAAATTACATTGTATGTGTCTGTCCTTTTAACAATCAGTCAGAGGCCCCACATTTTGTATTCATATTAGTACGAATTATAATGACAGTTTATTTGAAGAGTTCTCAAGTCTGCTTCCAAATTATACTGATGACCTATGAGAGAACAGTATTGTGACCCAAATAGGACACAAATTAACCTGGTCAAACAGTTGTATAACCTTATGTGCTTGTCATTTTTACATCATACTGGCAAAAACTAGTTCTGAGGGTAAAAAGAAGGCCTGAACCACTTTTCCTTGAATTGAGAAGCAGATAGCAATACCCCTTAGCAAGAGGGCACTCTCACACTAATAAAGCCATGTAAGTACCTTTATCATCCTTGAGTTCAGGAAAATGAGCCACTGTCAGACAAGGGGGAGCACTCTCTTTGATAAGCTGAAAAAGAATAATGAAGAAAAAATCACGAGTATTTAAATTCACAGGATGAAAAATACGAACCTTCTTGACAAAAACAGAACCAGGGCTGCTAAAATGACTCTCAACAAAAAGAAAAAATGTGAATAACTAAAAAAAAAAAAATAAAAAAAAATTGGCAGCATTTTTGGAAAAATCTGGCTTTTCATTTTCGATTGTTTTCTTCTTCTTTTTTAATTTGGCCACTGGACACAATTTCTCTACACCATGCCTGACTAAGATCGGGACCGTAAGAAAAAAAACTGAAATGCAGAATATTTCATATGAAAATACCTAATACATAGCTAATGGAGTGAAGTACACATCTTTTCCACTAAACTGACAGAGGTAGAACTCATAGCCATCCCCTTTAGGTAATGTAATTTTATAAACTGAAATATAAATTTCCACAGATTTTGTTATAAAGAATAACGTATTTTTTCACAGACAAAAGCGTTAATTAATTGACATCAGAATGTCACACACGCAAAATCTTATTTAATATTGTAAGTACATGTAATGGCAATGGAGGTCGTTGTATATTGGGCATCAAGAGTGCTAATATGCAATAAGAAAAGGTAAACACAAGTTGTCAATCAATTCAGCCAGAAAAGCCGGGATCGTATTAAAAAATATTGGGATCCAGGAAATTGACCAGACTAAGGAGATATTTTTCAGATAAGCTGGGATCGTATGAAAACATATAGGGATCCCGGGAATTGACCAGTTCAAGAATATAGTTTTCAGAAAAGCCGGGATCGTATTAAAACATATAGGAATCCCGTGAATTGACCAGTTCAAGAATATAATTTTCAAAAAAGCCGGGATCGTATTAAAATATATAAAGATCCCGGGAATTGGCCGTATTAAAAAATATTGGGATCCAGGAAATTGACCAGACTAAGGAGATATTTTTCAGATAAGCCGGTATCGTAATAAAACATATAGGGATCCCGGGAATTGACCAGTTCAAGAATATAGTTTTCAGAAAAGCCGGGATCGTATTAAAACATATAGGAATCCCGGGAATTGACCAGTTCAAGAATATAATTTTCAAAAAAGCCAGGATCGTATTAAAATATATAAAGATCCCGGGAATTGGCCAGTTCAAGAATGTAGTTTTCAAAAAAGCTGGGATCGTATTAAAACATATAGGGATCCCGGGAAATGACCAGTTCAAGAATATAGTTTTCAGAAAAGCCGAGATCGTATTAAAATATATAAAGATCCCGGGAATTGGCAAGTTCAAGAATATAGTTTTCAGAAAAGCCATGTAGGGATCCCGGTATTTGACCAATTCAAGAATATAGTCTTTATTTTTTCCAATTAATTAGGCATATAATTTTAATTATTGTGATTTCCGCATTTTAAGTTTGTTAATAAATAGCTCTAAATATATTTATATCCTAAGTTAAATTAATTTACCAATTATTACATACAATAAAAAATAAAAACTTAACGTTTTTAAATCGCCTTTCATTACGACAATAATCATTATGCAAATATAGTTTATTAGTTTTCCCTCTACATCTAATACGATCCCAGATCCCGGGATTCCCCCCCCCCCCCACACACCTTTATTTTTGGAATTTTAGGAATTTCAAACCGCAAGTCCTCCATTTCTAAGAAAACCAAATTAATTTAAGCAAATAAGATGTAGAAGGTGAGCTAAAATTCAATCTGGCCCCTAAATCAAATCAAATTACTTAAATTAGATGTAGGCCCTATTACTAGTCACAGTCCTGTAATTGTGACTAATTCCAGTCCAGTCAAAATTTTGGACAATGAGTCAATGTTAATTGTTGTGGCCTATATTTGGACGTTATGGCATGCATACAGAATATATAGTCAATGATACGGGTAGAAGAAGTGACCGACAGTCTATTGCTAAATAAAGTTACGACAAACGGCAAATTGAAAAGAAGGGGAAGTAACTATTGATAAATCTGTCTATACATATTCGGATATCCACGATAATCTTTCCAGCAAATACTTATTCAAATTACGGAAAAAACACGACTAGAACATAGCGCCCCCTGTTATCAAAATATGACATAATTATGCTTAGTTATATGTTGCCTAGTGCCTGATAACATGTTCCATACTGGTTGATCACTTCGTGTATGCATTACAAATTAACCAAGATGCATGATGAAATAAACCTTTACGCTAGATTCACTCAAATGAAAATATCAAAAAGGCATCAGGGACTAAACACCAAACAAGTTGTAACTTCCAGCAAGCATGGTATCATTGTCAACAAGCGTGATGAAAGTGCAAGCATGCATATCGACTTATCAATAAGCACAATAGAAGTGTCAATGAGTAAATTGTAACAGTAAGCAGGCAGTGTGTAATTGTCAACAAGCGTGATGAAAGTACAAGCATGCATAGTGACTGTACCAATAAGCACAATAGCAGTGTCAATGAGTAAATTGTAACAGTAAGCAGGCATTGTGTAATTTTTACCTTAATATCATTCCATAGCCTGACTATGGTCTCATTGGCATATAAACATAATTTTTACTTACATGCGGATTTAAAGTTGATTTGGTAATAAGCTCATCATAGTGTTCTGCCTGAAAATAAAATGTTTTGATGTAAATACCATGCACTAAATCCCTCGAAGATGCATCACATTACCATTCTATTATTCATGTTTAAAACTAAGATATCATCCTTCTAGAATAGATTCTAAAAACTTGGTGGTTTTACTCTGGTGTTCTGATAAATTGAACCTATATTCAGGAAAAACTGTCGTTTTCATCCAAATGCACAAAAGGAAACCTGTGGTGTTTCTTGACAAATAAAGATCAGAAACAACAATATGACCTAAAACTAATCATAAATGGCAGGCAGTAAACAAGGCGGACATGAACTTAGAGAACTTTAACTTAAAAATATACAACTAAGCACAAAAGACTGTGATATACTGAAAACAGATGCATCTATTGCCGAGCAGTACATGCAACAGAAATCTAATCTAAAGATTGCTGGCCTTGTGGGTTCAAACCCCGTCAAGGGCAAGCTGTGCGCAAGACACTTTACACTCATTGCTTTGTATCGGCTAGTTCCAGGAATGGATTCAAAACTTTGTCTATAACCTTATAACATCCTACACAATCAAACTAAACTTATTCTGTATTTAATAGCTAGTTTAATAAAGGTCCCTGCTACTGTTTGAAAAAAAATGCACTGAAAAGTATCCTCTATCAGAGGTCATCCTCTACCAGGAAAGCGAAACACTGACCAACCGTACAACTTTCGCAATGCCAGTATAACCCGATAAAAGTTTAGTTATAAAAAATTATTTATAAAGACTTACAGGAAAAACTTCAAATATACAGTCCTTTGCGAGATGATATTCCTGCCACAACTGAAACATAAAAACAATGTAAATCATTAAACTCCAATTAACAATGTCTTATAACATTAAAACACACACACCACATCATATTTCTAAAGAAGCACATGTGTTATGTTCAAATGCCAGGGGGAGAGGGGGAGGTGTTGACCTTGACCTTTGGTTTAAACAATTTTTATTTCATAACAAAATTTCAATACATAAATTGCATCCAGGACTAAGTAGTAAGCTTCAAGCTTATATGACACTCTATCACGAAATTTAAATCGTGAAACTTCAATATAGATTGTTTTTCACTATGTTATTTTTAGAAACGATTTTCTACGCTTATCCCGAAGATCTCGATTGATTAAGCCATTATAGATTTTAACAAGGCAGGAGTGTATACTATAGTGCTTGTAGCGCTTTGATTTATATTTTCTTTCTTTTTACTGTACTCGAGCACTTATGTTCATAGCAATTCAATCCCGTGTTTATTTCAACAGAATTTCTTCTGAACTTTTAACGTATTGTCAAGCTAATCACAAACATTACTCAGATCGCTGTTATATCTTTTTTTATTAATTTATGTTTTGTAAATATTTATAGCTTCTAAACATAGAATGATTTAATTAACGAACAAACATGAAGTAGTTTCATTTGATCTCTGTTACATATTTGTTACAGTTCAGGTTTTCATATATATGCGATATGATTCTGTAGATAGAGTTTAAGTTAGGTAACAAAAAATATCACAGGGTGAGAAAAATGTGCAGCCTGAGAAAAAACTGGTCCCCGGGACCCTTGAAATATCGTTCAGTGATTCTACCGACTGATCTGTCTGATCGACTGTACACATTTTCTCCCCTAATAAATTAACAATTCTATACCGTGAAATACCGAAAGACAGAAGATTCATTAAAACTATATTCTTTAGCCTAATTCTTACGTGGTTAAGAATCGATAGCACTTGATTAGCCTGTGTTACCTGTAAAGAGCCAGGACAGCCGGCACATCCGTGCAGTCAAATTAAGATCTATATTTTTGGTAGCTTATTGTTTTTATTTGTTGGTATATTTTCAAAACTCTTAATTGTCAAAAGAACTGTTCAAATTTAAAGCTGGATAACTCTATTTAATACCTTTGGCTGGTAATGTGTTAATTTCATTGATATTGTTTATCTATCGTTGAGGTTCAACGAACAATTCAACAATTAAATTTTATATGGGGGGCAAATGTCCAACCCTTCCAAAGATATGAGGGTGCAAATGCCCGCCACTGCAAAAGGGGAGCAAACTTCCGAGGGGCAACTGACTGATTGACAAATGTCCGGATACTCAGCAGACCACGAAAGACTTACATATGTATATTGTTGGCAAGTGTTCGATAAATGATCCGAAATTAATTTTATATAGCAAATTATAAATTGTTCTAGAATAAAATATGATTGCTCATCATATAAGTTTTTATACTAAATCACTTATAACTTTATATTAACATTTTTTCAAGATTTCTTTAAATAATATCCGAGTCGTTTCTATCGATATTTTAATAACTAATGGGAGATGTGCCCAATGTAAACCAATCCACTTTAAGTACTTGTATATTCATGTCACTATAAGAAAGTTTTGGATTATTATATCTTTAACGTTGTTGTGTAGCATTCTTTAAAACTAAGCCCTGGATTCGAAGGTTTTCAGGGGTAATCAGTTTTGACTTTTCGAGGGTTGAATAGAAAGGCATGATAAACCTAACTAAAAGAGAGGGGTGATTAACGGGGATTTAACAATCTGGTTGATCCCGCGGGTGGGAATGTTACCAGGGACTTCGCTATTAGTTGTGGGTAGCTGCGGTTTTCTACGTAAAGTGTATATCAAATTGACGTAATTTGAATCACAAATGAAACGGACATATGTTTGTATATATTTTCGATATGAATGTTTGATACAATTTTTATGTACTATAATTTTTTTATGGATTAGTGATTTAGAATCGTAATAAGTATGCTGTGATAACTGTTATAGTTTCATAGAAATGAACTTGAAGCATCCATTTTTGTTATATTGTGAACTTATTGACAGAAGAAACGTTTAGATTACTATTACTTTAAAAAAATGACGCGATTAGAAAAATGTAAAATGTGTCCTAACTTAGGTATGTTATCCATTTATTTTATTCGAGGGATATAGGAATGTTGCTATAATTGCTAAGTGCATTCAATAGACATTATCTTGTTTAAAAGTATGTATCCAGATTTTGTAAGACAGGAATATTATGACAATCATTTACATGTTATTTTCATTTTCAATTTTTGATTGCATTTCATGTTTTCTTTGTCTGCACATAGGCAGGGCTATTTTTTCACGTGTTTTTCATGACCGGGTCTGTCTGACAGACCTGTGCACGTGCAAAAGAAAGACCTCATAACGGACTTTCTTTCGTTTTAACAGGTCTATCCGAAAAATTTAGACATGTTACAAACACTAGAGGAGGTGTAAAGATATTTCAATTATTTGTCTTTCATATGAAGTAACTAATAAATAGCAAAATATAAAATTAGTTTGACTTGACCTATTTACTGACTATTTAGTAAATAGCAGAAGATATATTTTTTATAGTTTGTCATGTAATCGTTCTTTTTCCTTTTTTATAACCTGTAATTCTTTTTTTCAATACCCTTGGATGGCCATATTAAATGTCACTTAAACCGTTATAAGTTTAATTTTCAATTGTGCAATACATAAAATTAATTTAACAGGTTCATAAAAAGAAAAAAACGATTCATCATCATCTTCAGTAATCGCCTCACTCTTTATAGAGCATAATCGCGATGAAACTAAAACTATGTACATGCGCAGCAATTGGTTTCCTCTTTACAGTTAAAAATTGTCTATTTACATCTTTTTAAAATCTGGTAAAAATCATGACAAACTATAAAAAATTTATCTTCTGAAGAAAAAAATAAACATACAAATAGAAAAAAAAGAAAGTTGCACAATTGCAAATTTGATCTGGAAAAACACGTTTCATAACATAATACATGTAGCTTAACTAATAGTCCAAATATAGATTTCATGGAAATTTAACTTCCGCGTTCCAAAATGATCTATTGATTGTTGTAACGAAATGTAAACATCCGACAGATTACATTTGGATCGGAACAAGACACTATGGCTTACCTGTTTTACATTTTATTTAGTTTTAAACCCTAATTTGTTTCATTGAAATATCTTAGTTTATGAAACTGTATTACAGTGATGTTAAAAATTGAGCTTCATAATTAAATATATGTAATTTTTCAAATCGGGACGATATAATCGTTACACAAAATGGCGGATAGTGGAAGTAAAATAGGAGAGGATGATGAAGTTCCTGGTCGTGTTAAGGACAATATGTGTCAACCATGTTTAGATAAGGATAAGCAAACTGTAGCTGACAAGTTTTGTTCAACTTGTAATGAATTTCAATGTAATGATTGTTCAAATGTACACAACGTTCTCGCCATCTTGAAAAATCATAAATTGGTTAGCGCTAAAGAAGCTAATGCTGCAAGTATTTCGTTTGAAATGAAGGCATTAGATTTATGTGATGAACATCAACGTTCTTTTGAATTCTTCTGTGAGGATGAAAAGAAGCTTTGCTGCAGTTCTTGCGCTATTGTTAATCACCGAAAGTGTCATAGCGTTGTAGAAATTAAGAAGATCGCTGGGAAAATAACCTCACCAAGTTCTACATTAGGCGAGAAATTGAAGGAAGCTAAGGAAGCTGCTGAGGGTGTTGCGAGACAGATTCGCTCTTCAACAGATCAACTTGCTGAAGATGTCAAAGAAATACATGTAAAGATTAGACAAATGCGAGATGAAGTAATGAGAATGTTTGATGATTTAGAAGATTCCGTTAACAAAAGAGCTGAAACTCTGCAGAAACAGACATTAGAAAAACTGACAAAGAAGCAAGCACAAAACGAGAAACATTTGGCCGATGTAAAATCGTTTTTAGAAACTATTGAAAGCATTTTCAAAAATGGAACTCCAGTACAGAAATATATAGCAGAACAGAAAATGGAGAGTAAAGTCAATGCTATCTGCAGAAACATCAAGGAGGAATGTCAGAAATTAGAAAAGGTGAATATTTCTTTTCATTTTGACGAAACTTTAAAACTGCCACCATTACCAGTTACTGAATATGTTCCAGGACAGTTACTTTTAAAGTCCAATCGCCAGGAAGATGTTAATTCTGTTAACATGACGATGACATTAAAGCCAGTTTCTTTCATTGGTTTAAAGCAGACTGGAGATGATGATGGGAAGCCGTTATATTCAGGTATAGATTTCCTACCTGATGGTAGACTTGTGACTGTTGATCATAGAAACAAGAAATGTTTAGTGTACAATGAGAAGCTTGAGAAAGTAGAATCATATCAGCTATTTTACACCCCATTTTCTGTTGTTGTAGTATCTGAGGAGGAAGTAGCGATAACACGCGGTGGTGGATACAATATAGAATTTCTACATTTTAGTAAATGTAATAAAGTAACTTCAAGAAGGACATGTAAAGTGAAAACGAAATATGACTCTATATCTTTAAAAGATGATAAACAGTTTGTAGTAGGGACTTATGATGAAACAAGACCTGTTCGTATTTTATCATTGACAGGAAAGGAGCATGATTTTAGTGTTAACTTTCAAAACAAGACATATCCGATAGGCACTAGTGATTGTACTTACATAAAGAGCAGCGACAAAGTTGTGATTACAGATAGATACGAGCATACTGTCTACATATATAATATCAAGACAGGCACGAGAGTCGTAGTGAAGGATGATCATATACTGGAACCATGTGGTGTAGCAGTTGGCCCGTGTGATACTATCCTGGTGTGTTGTCGTACAACAAACACCATTGTACAGATATCACAAACAGGTCAGATATTATCATCGTACAAGTTAGATATGACATATCCATATAGAGTATGTGTCTCACGTGATAAATCATTTCTTGTTGTTACAAATAACTGTGTTGGAAATAAGAAAATGCAGAAATTCAAAATATCATGTTAGTAACACAATCTTCTGTTTTACATAGAAGATTTTCACACCCATTCAAAGTTATTAAAAAAATGAAACAAACATTTATCGGTTACATATGATGGATGGATCAAGGAATTATACTAACGTTCTAGCACCAATGTAGCTGTTCGTAACAAAAAAAAAATACATTCAAATGAAACAATGTGCTGAGAAAAAGTGTGCTAATCAAAATGTAGTATATTTCTGCTATGACAGACAGACTCAACATCGCTAACACCAGGAGCCTATTCAATAGCAATAATTTCAATTCATATATTTATTTCATTTTACGCACATGTGCATTAAATTCAAAATTAATCAATTAATCGTCACATTGATGTACAGACTCAATCAAACCGAGTTTACAATTTTCATGTAATTTTATTATGATTAATGTTTCCGAAGAGTCACCCTTTCTTCATTTTTTTAATTTAGCACGGCTTTTATGTAAAGTAGTTATGTTCTGTGCCATAGGTTTCTTATTTTTTTAATCATCACATAATGTTGACTTTATTATTATACATGACTTTGAAAATATAAATTTTCGGAAGATTTTTTTGTTCAAATATTAGCGATATAATGTCATTACGTTATTTTAATACTTTTAACCGTCATATCATGCCTGACCCGGAAGTGATTAGCCTTTGCCACCAGTATACAGCCAAGCCAACATGTACATTCGATGGAATAAAGTCCATACTACTATTAACAAAATAACATCAGATACAAACTTAAGATACTTTCAATACAAATTAATAAATAGAATTTTAGCAACAAATACTTTTTTAACTAAGATTGGAATAAAAGATAACAATACATGCACTTTTTGCAGGGAAAGTAACGAAACACTTTTACACTTGTTTTATGAATGTCGGTATGTGAGTCATTTTTGGCGGAATTAAAAAATTTTCATTAAAACTAAATGCCCGAATATTGCAGATTATGAACTCTCAAAAGAAGAAATTCTTTTTGGTATAACTGATCCTAAGAAAACGGACGAAACATTAAATTTTATTTTTCTTATTGCAAAAAGATATATTTACACGTGTAGGTATAATAACCAAAATTTCAACATACAAACTTTTCATAAAACGTTAGTTTTCCATTATAATGTAGAAAAGTATATCCAATATTCTTCTTGTAACTGGGATAAATTCAATAGTAGGTGGTCTCCCTATCAAACTCTTGTCGACTTTCCTAATTGATGTTTCTGAACATACTTTAACCTTATATCAAAACACAAGGAAATTAACTGTTAAAAGATCAGTCTTAACAAAAATAATAATAAATTATATTACCATTTAAAGTATACATATAGAGTGTTTTATTGGCCTTATTTTAAAAATAATGTTATAGATATATTTTTGGTGACACATCATAAAAAAGCTTCAGGCAACTAATATATTGTGCATACTGCATTACATATTTTACACTTCTAATGTGGATAAGATATGATATAATGTTTATATGATACAGAATTATAAAGATATTAAGATTGCTGGAACTATGGCCTGTGCCACCTGTATATTTGGCTCATCGTGAAGTCGGGGGTACTCCTGACTCCCGACAACCTTTGGAGGTCGAGGGTCGGGAGTGCAACTGGCATGGCCTGGGGCGCGCGTTGTCGCAGGAAGACCATTTTGGAGCTTCTAGGCCCCATGTCATGCTCTGGTTGAATTCAGGTCCACGATAGAGTGGGCAGAGACTATCAGTTCCGGTTGATTTTAATATTATTTGAATCTTATGTTTTATGTAAATGGGAGCTCTGAAAAACTACCCTTTTTCGAAGATTATAATAAAGGGAAATAAATAAGTTAACGTATTTTAGGAAATTTATGGTAGTTATCCTTCTTTATGTGACATGACTTTTTAGAAGCATAGCAATGCTAATGTATATGGAATTATTGTCACTTTCTTTCTTTTACAAGATCTTGTTTTTTTTGTATTTATACACACATTTAAGCTTCTTCAATTATTAAATATAAAGATCCTGTGATGAGAGTAGTATTTTGATCAACTATCTCGTTAGGAGACATGAAATGTGGTTTATTTTAATGGAGATAATCCTTGTCTGCGATGTTTATAAATAAATAAATATACCTACCATATATGTTAACATAATACTTTTATATAATATTTTTCTACTCTTTATTCAATAACTATCCACGGGAAGACCTAATTTGTTTTTCGCATACACTTTTCGTTTAGGTTATCTTGCTGGAAAACTTTTGGAGGACAGGATAAAAAAAAATTAATAAAAAAAAATAAACTGTATATAAATGAAAGTAAAATCATCTCAAAAACCATCCGTTCATAATTATTATATAATGTTATTATAAACCATTGTTTTCTTCTAACGTTCTTTTTATATTCTCTCATCAACTTCAAAATTTATACTATAAATGTTGTGTGAAAATCTTATGTCTCCTTTTATTTAATCTTATGTCTCCTTTTTGATCTTATAAAATGTTTAAAGATTTATTGTATGATGTGTATTTGCATGGTTATGTATGATTATATGATTGTATGTTTCGTTGATTTATTAATAAATGGGGTTCCACATTTGTGGACCTGAAGCAAAAAAAAAAAAACAAAAAAAAAACATGCACATTCGATCAGTCTGAACAGCTTTTTTCTGTCCTAATATTTAAGAAATAACATCGGCCTGAGAGGTGTATATCGGCTATTTAACACCGGTTTTGATGCGTAGGAATTGACCACGAAGGCCGTAGGCCTGAGTGGTTAATTTTTTCGCATCAAAACGACAAAACCGGTGTTAAATAGCCGATATACACCTCTCAGACCGATGTTATTTCGATTCTATCACGATAAAATAAGGAAGATCACTAATGTTATTTTTTCAAGCGGAAATAACTTCCGGTGCCGATTTTCGTATAACGCTGTTCGATTTTCGCACCCTAATATAGAAATTATTAAACAAAATAAATAATAAGAAAAAAACTGTTATTTTATCAAGTTTTCAACAATTAAAAACTTACGTCGTATTGTGTTTACATCAATGCCCTATTTATCATTATTGTATATATGAAATAACGTCAGCTTGTTTATGAATGAGTTGTTTACTTACGATGACGTCATTACGTTGCTTACGGATTGGCGCCGTTTTGTCAAAAAATTATATAGTGATATGGATCAAATATGTGGCGTTAGTGTATGTGAGATATTATTTCGGTATTGTATGAAAAGAAAACATTATAAGAACTAAAAATAAAAATGCTTTTTATTGTTGCTTTAAAAGACTTTGTAAACTATTTAATCGAGGGTGAAAACATAAAAGCCGCATATACAAGTAGTCCCTAACCAGTGTTTATTGGCAGTTTAACACCGGTTTTTTTCCTTCTTTGTCTATAGTGACAAAATCACGTGGAGTGATAGAATAAATCTTATACACTCCAAATGGAATCCGAAAATTAAAAAAGTTCAGAATAGATAACAAGAAAGTTGATAGGATAAAGTTAACATCAGTTTTTTGGCTTCAGTTGACTTTTCGGTGATTATAATATAATAGATGTGTATACATTTATTGTTTATCATTACATGAAAGTTATGTTAGAAAATGTATATATTTTACTTTGTCTTATGATATATTATGTTATACCATGCTTATCAGTATGAATAAATATAACTAACCGGAGCTATAGAATTTTACTTTTATAATTGCATTGCTTTATCTTGATATCATGCATATTCCTCACGTTTTTAAAGTTTAAATAAAATACGGCTGATACTCATAAAGTGACATTATGCCCATCTATGAACCGTTGAAAATGTAAAAAAATAAGTTTACATTTTGCCATAATTTCTTTCAGATTGGTAATTTACTTCGCAGGAACGATACTATATATAGCTAACTCGGTCCTAGGGAAATTCTGTTATTATCCACCAGAATTTATATAAAAAGAGAATCGTTTACTAGTATTTTATAAAAAGACTGGGGCAGTCTTTTTATATTGATTAAAATATGTCCCGCACTTCACTTTCAGTGTTGTTAGATTTTTCAGGTTCTTCAGAATCATTTACTCCGGCATTTTTTAAATGTTGAATGTGAGTATTGCTAATGCCGGTGTTAGGGGGCTTGAGGGATGTTGCACTTTTTCATTATCCCTCATGTACAGACTCAGTCTCACCGAGTCTGCAAATGTCATGTAATTTTGCTGATTTTATTGCTGCCGAGATATCACCTTTTTCCGGATATATATACATCACAACAGCAGGTGTCGTGTCCATTGCCGTGTGACAGCCGTAAAAAGTTGCCCTGTAATTCACCACCCTCAGTGCTGATTTGTATTTTTAGGTCCTTCAGGATAATTTATTCCGTCACTTTATAGTGTTAATACTTTAGTACCGCCCATACCGGCATAAGGGATGTTGCAGTTTTCATTATCCCTCATATACAAACAGAAACAAACCGAGTCTGCACTTTTCATGTGGTTTTGCTGATTTTAATGCTTCCAAGGGATCACCTTTTTAAAGATATTAAGGCTTATTTATATTTTGTCTTTAACATTTTACAATATCAACTTTTGGTCAATCATCTATATAACAGTGAATCTTTTGAAAATTATAGTCAAATCAACTTCACTTGGCAGTGAAAAAATGATCAGAAAAATGTCACTTAAATGTAAGATTCTGCAACACTGCTAAATTACTATGCTGGGGAAGAAGAAAGCTGGAGAAATGAAAGAAATGTTACAAGTTTTCGTAAAATATCGTTTAAAGAACAGTATGTATTTTACATTAATTTGTATGTTATTCTTCCAACTTAACATTTTAATAGATGATAATTTATTTAAGGATTAGCTGTTATTAACTTATGTTATCAAATTAACTTTTGATATATGTGTGTTATCATGATATGTGCGAGTTATAAGTATCTGTATACTAGAATGGATGTCAACGATTTCCTGTAATTTTAACGACGCTCTCTTTCACTAACGTATAGATTTTATACTCTATATCTGTATCTTGTC